GTGAAATGACTTATCCCAAAGGAGTGTGCTCCTACCTAGGCTGTCAATTATGACTGGCACGTGGGCCGCATTTATGTCTGAAATGACGATGAGCAAATTGTGAAACTTGAAGTGGGGCTCACGGAGCCACCGCAGGAGTGCAGCGTGCTCGGGAGCGACGCTGGCCCTCAGCCACGGCCTCAGGGCCCATGGGGAGGAGATCAAACCCGGATGCGCGGATGGGAGGGTGAACAGCAGCTTGCAAACTGCTGTGCTTCAACTGCGCCTTTGGGTACCGGCTCTCCCGGCCTCACGTGGCACAGACCGGTGCGAACATCAGAAGCGGCTCCTGCGCTACAGGAAAGCCCCGGTGGTGTCGTTGGTTACTGAGGCGGGAGAGCGCGTGTTGGGGTTCACCAAAGGTAAGACGGGATTCACGGACATATTGGTGAGAGGAGCCCACTGGTGTGTGGCCCCACGGCTGCCATGGGCCAGTTGAAGTCAGGAAAAGGCTTTCTTGCTCCAACGCAGTTAATTTAAAAGCACTCAGGCTTAGAAATATCATCCTCTGGGTCCTTTCCTGGGGCAATGTTGCTGCTCCTCAGGGTTTCCATGTTTCTGCCTTGAAGTCAGGGTCGTTAAACTGCACATGAAATTGGCTTCGCTGTTGCTGTAGAGGGAGAGGCAAGAGCACAACCTTTCCTCTGCTTGCAGATCCCCTGCACACAACTCCAGATCACGTCCTCCCCTAGCCAAGGCGCCAGCATGTGCGCTCATAGCAGCAACTGTGTATGGGGATGACTGCCTCTTTTTTTCTGGCCTTTTTTTTTTCTCTTTATTTCTTTTTTTATCTCTCCCTCCTGCTGCTTTCCGGGAGTTCCTCCATCTCTGGGTACAGACTGTCCTCCTCCTTCCCAAGTACCTTGCTTTGCATCCGGGGCTATTTAAAATGTGCCATGGCTTGTGATAATTTTATCAGACAGTTCAGATTGCTCCATAACAGCAAGCAGCTTGTCCGTTATTTGCATCATCCATAAATTTAAACCTTCATCTTGTCATCTAGATAATTGATTTTAAAAACTATTGAATGGCACTGGATCAAGAATCAGTCTCTCCGGGTCCAGTTATGTCCCCATTTGTTGCTGTCTCCCCATTAAAATTGGCTCAGTGACAGAGCTGTTCAAAATGTAGCTGCTAATGAATTTAGTTGTTAATCTAACGTGAGCTTTATTAATTGTTTATAATACATGCTTTTAATTAAAAAATGGCATAATCATTGAACACTGTGGAAAAGCCCCAGCGTGCTTTAGAGATGCTGCTGCTTTTGTCCACCACACAACAAGTTTTGTGCAAAGACGATGAGTTTTGTTAAAACATTCGTGGTCTATCAAACCGCACCTGGGATACTATTTGTTGCTCTTTTAGCTTCTCACTGGCAAAACCCCAAACCTAAGCCCAGGTGTGTCTGCTGTTTCTTTGTGTATCGCTTTGGCTCTTTTTGAGCAAAAGGCTTCATGCTGGCCATGCTCCAGCCCAGGTTTTGTTAAAAGATAACCCTTGTGGTTCAGAGGGAACCACAGCTGCAGCACTGAAATGTTGTATGCAAACTACGCCGCCCGTGGCACGGACGGGCCCGTTGCGGGAGCCGCGGCCTCTCCCCCTTGCCCTGCTGCGGTGCGAACGCCCCGCTCCGGCGGCAGCGCTGGGGTCACTCCTGTGGGGCCTGTTGAAGGCGGGCGCAGACTGCGCTTGGAAAAGCTTCAACAGTCTCAGAAAATCAGGTCTATTCAGGAACGGTCTCAGAAACGCAGGTTGGCCTGGGGTGACTTGGCTCCAGGTGCCTTGCCCGTGCGTGGGGCTCGGCGCAGCGACCCGGCGTGGCGCTCGCAGCCCCGCAGAGGCGAGGAGCGTGCAGCGGGAGCTGGGCCCTTTCCAGCTTTACACGTCGGCAGTGTACTCAGCACCCTGCAGTTGCGGATTTACGATAGCCGGTGACGGTGCCCGGCCCGGGAATGAGCTCCGGTTTCACTCCCAGCGCTCAAGCACACTTGGCTGGGGTGGCTGCTGGGGAAAAAATAAAATGTGTGAAGAGTAAATACATAAGGAACATTTGAGCTGTCTTCTTTAAGGAGCAGGATTAAACACAGGGCCTCCACCCAGCGTATTGTTTCTACCAGCAAGTTTTCACAGCATGCAGCACGCTAAGCGGTGCAGCAGCTTTCTGACTCTGGCTACAGGCAGATTAGGTAAAATGCTCAGTGTAATCGTGCAATTTTCCCCAAATTTCACGTCTAAATGGGACCAGAAAGTAGCAGGTGTTGCCTGTGTTCTTCACCTTGTTTCGGAGTGTGGTGGCTGATGAGAGTCGGGACGCCCACTCGCCAAGAGCAGCCCATGTCTGGCTCCAAAGAGCCACGCGTATCCTCGGAAAGGTGCTTGGAGAGGGAGGCTCTGGCTGCCTATGCAAATTCCTGGACCTGGCAGACAGGACCAAAGCAGCTCTTGGAGACAGAGAAGAGGAAAAGACAGATGTTAACCTCGTGTTACAGCACTGGTGAGGCTTACTGCAGGATACCGTGGCTTGAAAAGACTGCAGGAAAATCTGGGAGTTGTGTACAGCAGAGGTGCCAAAAAAGCGGCTTGAGGGTGCGGGAATAAGCTCCATGACAAGAGAATTAAGGGACTCCTGAAACAGCGATGGGGGAGATGGGAGTCTCCAGCTCGTGCCTTAAAAATCAAGCCTAGTTGCTTTCTCGGGAAATGCATGCGAGTCAGACTCGATGTCCTGGGATTAATGCAAGAAGGTGACCTGATGAGTGGTGTCCTGGGCAGCTGAGCATCAGCAAGGAGCATCCGATCGTTTCACATGAGAAAACTGCTGGGAGATGTGGTCTGGCTGGACAGATGGCGGGGAATCTGTTAGAGCAGACCCACCACTGAATGAACATCTGGAGGGTGGCAGGGTTTTCCAGCCAAGTTCTGCTTGTTTTAACTCATTTTCCGTGTCTGCTGATGCCCTCGGTGGATATTTCTGCCCCGAAGGTACAGGGCATTCTCAGGTGTGAAGTGGCCTCCACAGGGCTACTTGGTGGCAGTTAGTTAGTGATAAAACACTAAATTAATTAGTGCCCAGACTGAGTGGCTGACGCAGTCTGGGGTGGAGGGCTGCGGTGTGAGCGCAGAGCGCGGGATGAGATGAGCGGCCTCGAGGGTGACGCATGCGGCCCTGGGCACGAGCGGTGACAGCCTAACTTTACTTAATGACGAGAAACAAATACACGGACGTTATCTACCCTTCCGTGTCGCTCCCAGGGACACGCAGCCCAGCCGCCACAAGCGCCAGAAAGCAAACAGCGCAAAGCGCCTTTGAGAGTGGTGCCAGCGCGTGGCTGTCCTTCCCGGCAGCCGCTCTCGTGGGAGCGGGGCGGGCGCTGCTCTGGGAAGGCTGCGGCCGCGGGCCCTTCCCGAGGCTTGTCGGGCCTCCCGCATGCGGACGGTGCCGGTTGCGTTTCCCGGGAGCGGGCCTGGCGGCTCGTGTCCAGCAAGGGCTCGGGCCTGCCCGCCGTGGTGCCTGCCTGCTGCAGCTCCTGGGATTTGTGTTTTCCAGCTGTTATTAGCGACCCGCTGCTGCAGAGGGAGGGTTGTTTCCTGCTTGTTGCTTAGAAGACCGGACTGCAGGCCCAGTGCCATGCAGTGAGGCAGGGTTGTCACTGCAGCGCCATGCAGAGGCTGGAAGGGGGGGATGTGCTCAGGGGAGCCCGGCAGTGCAGAGAGGTGTCACGGCTGCAGGCAGGGGCAGTGTTGGGACGGCTGCTGCAGTGTTGACAGGAGGTGCAGTGGGTGGAGCTGCCCTGCAGCGCTGCGACTGGGCATGATGCCAAGAGCTAGTGACTGGGGGGAGTGCAGCCTTGTGCAGTGGTGGGGGGTGTGTGCAGTGTTCGGAGAGAGGCAGGGCAGTGATTGAGGGGCTGTGGTGCAGTGACTGGAGCAGCAGTGAGATGCAGTGATAGCGGATGCAGTGTAGGGCTGAGAGGGTGCAGCACAGTGAGGGGGTGCAGTGCAGTGCCTGGAGGGGAGGTGTGGTGCAGCGGTGGGTGTGCAGTGTGGTGCAGTGCGGGGGTGGGTGGGCACAGTGTGGTGACTGGAGGAGCAGCGCAGTGCACCATGATGGCAGTGATGGCGCAGTGCTGTGCAGTGACAGCTGCAGTGCTTGTGCAGTGATGGGGGCTTGCAGTGTGGTGCAGTGATGGAGGGGGCTGCGCAGCGCAGTGAGGGGTGCAGTGCGGTGCAGTGAGGGGAGTGCAGCATGGTGCAGTGATGGGTGCAGAGCAGTGATCGGGGGGGTGTGGGGAGGGGGTGCAGCGCGGTGCAGTGACAGGTGCAGCTTGGGGCAGGGATGCATGTTGCCGT